TTGGTCTTGGGAAAGAGAACAGTTTTGCGTACTCAAAAACAATCAAAATTAAAATATATCAACTTAAAAATCATTCCAACCTTTGGGTGAAATTTTATACCAAGACTGTGATATAATCAATGGTCATGCTCAGACAAAACTTGTGCAGCTGCATTCAAAATTCTAACCATTTTCAAACTCTTCCATTGACACCAAGTTCACTGACTGACCCTCATGACTTTAAGCACCCCCATCCCACAACACAAACAAAACCAAAGGCCATAAGAAACACGTAATTTGCCCAAGACAGTTGTCTGTAGAGCAGCTGTTAGTCCAAGGTAGAGGTGGGCAGGTGCGGAAACAGCTGCTGAGTCCAAGACTTCACCAGATGCCGGGACAGCTGTAAAGAAAGTGGGCCTTCCTAATGTATATCACATAAATACATATCTTTATAGTACCCAGACTAGTCGGAATGTATAAGTAAAAACTTGCGGTCAGAGTCTTTTACTTTTTGGGAAGTGGAAGGTAGGCTACATGGTACACTTGTAGTAGGTGGTTAGGATACAGGTGAAGACGAGGATGGATGGGTAGGAATTGTCAGATGGAATTTTTCGGATGCAAGAATTGATCTTGGATATTATTCCACGATATAATAGAAACGATATAATTTTAAAGGGAGGAGGTAAACGAAATGTGAAACAAAAAAATTGTGAATCACTACTATACTGTAGCAGTTTTTATGTGATGGTGCAAGTAATGTTTTCTTAGGTCAACTACTAGGTCTGAGGGTTAGGGTTAGGTTAGGTTAGGTTAGGTTAGGCTAGGTTAGGTTAGGTTAGAAATACCAATGTCTGGATTGGATATTCAGCTTTGAACTCAAAAGAAAAAAAAATGATAACGCAAAATACATTTTTATGTTATTTGGTAGTGGTACAGTACCACCGAAGTATATTATATACTTCGATGGGTACAACAAGCGGTGTTTAATCTTTTATGAGATTTACTAACTAAGGATAATTTGTGACATGGTGTTTTGATAACTGGATGGGTTGCTGTAATGTATTTATGTTACCTCAAATTATAACTTACATTTATTACACAATTTAACTCTAGTCTGAATCTCAATGGTTCGGTGAATATAAATCAAATGTATGCAACACGCAGCACGAAGGGATTAGGGGATTAGGTTAGGTAAGAAAGAGTATAGTCAATGCAAAAACCTCGCACCACTGCTTCGCTGGCGCATCAGCCAGGGGAGAGCAGTTTACCTACCTACATACATTTTAGGTATGTAGAATAGTATTCAAGGTTGGAGGTTAATTGTCCTTGTAGTCCAAAAAAGAGCTGTAGAGCGGCAGAATGGTTGCACTTGTAGGAGTCACCCCTCTCTTCCAGATGAAGACAGGGTTGGATAAGTAAAGCGAGTTAGAACTGTTAGACTACAAGGACAATGAACCTCCAACCTTGAATACTATTTCTCATTTCTCGATAGAATAGACACTGGAAATAAAGACATTGACAAAACAAAATGTTGGAGTATAAACATAGACTGTAACGATCTAGTTTGTATTTTAGCACAGAATAAAAAAGAGACTAGTGTCATACTGTAGGTGATAGGAGGGTACGTTACCCCTACATTTCTTCCATTTTTGGCAAGCATTTACATAAGTAGTTATTTAGTTACGTAGTCCGAGTCCAACCAAGTGTAAATTTTATTTCGTCATGAACCTATTCCGAAAAAAATCATTAATCTAACTAAACATGATATTTTCTGCGACGGTATTTGGATTATTTGTCAGTTGAAAATATGAAAGTGCCATTAAACATCAACTGCTAATATGGAAATCTTTGAGTAAAGTAAACTTTTGGTTTTACCCATGGTGTGATATAATTTAAATTCTCGTTTATAATATCTTGTAAAATAACCAATGTAAACATGATGAATGGGTTTAAATAATAGAAATATTCTAAATTGATTTTTAGGCCTAATCAATAATGTATTTATAACGGATTTTAAAGTCTCAACGGGAACCCCCAACGTCATTTTGTAAATTAAATATAATTCGAAACATTGACTCAGTTTTGATTAATTTCGACCAGTAATCAGAAAAATCAATATGTTTTAGAATAATTTTGAAAATCTGTCTTAGAAATTAATAAAAAAATGTACATACAAAATTACACAAACAATTACCATACAGTTCATCAGCACGAACAAAGTAGCAAGTTAGTAAAGTTCTAAAATGTTGACTTGTAAAACAATAAAGCGCCAGTTTCGTTGGAAGAGCCTAACAATAACATTACACAAGTTCCACACTCATCTGCTTTGCAGGTTGCGGCGTTCTCATGCAGGCGTCGTCATTTCAATGTAAACACAACTGGAAAGGTTTACCTACATTGTTATAGGCTTTGGTGATTTGAACCATCAGGTTGTGTTAAAAGGTCTTTAAGTTTGTATTTGAAAGCACACAGAAACAAAATTTATAGATAATTTAACCGTATTGGCTTAATCGTACTTATCTACTTTATCTTGCCTTGATTTCACATATAGAAATATTTCATTGGAAATAATTATTTGTACTTGTCATGATTGAAAATGCAAAGATTTGATTGTCTTAGGAAAAGTACTTAAAAGAAATGAAAGTTTTGTGTAATTGCTCAGTTAACTATTTTAACAAATTTTAACAGCACTAATAAGTTTTGTAATCGTTTATACAATTCATGGACTGATGAAAATTCTGTTAAATAAACTATAAATGCTTTGATGGAAAACAGTAAAGAATAAATTGATTATTTATATACTTTTGATAATTTTTAGTTGTTTTAAAATACAACATTTTGATTGCTCGGTAAGTTTTTGACATGACAAATCATAAGACGTAAAAAAAATATCACTAATAAGATATAAAATAGATCCTTTGACATTGAGTTTAAAAAAAAAAATCTGTCAAAATACCAGTTTGATAGATTTTTAAATACGTTTGAAAGGTTTGAAAAACCACTTTGGTTGCTATTGAACTAATGGTAACTGGACTATAAGGTGTTGAGTATAAAGATTTGCAATAATTCCTTTGTAAAAAAATATCATGATTTATTAATGTCAACTTGATCATATAGATCAGGTTAAGCATTGTTAAACTGATTTGTTTAATTAAGGATCTTATCTTAAAATACATCAATAATCAATTATGAAATAATAATGCTCATATAGTAATCAGTAGTTAGTAGTTTGTCAATTCAATACAGTCCTGAGAAAAGTCAATAGCTTTTTATAGTTTGGAGCTGTAAGAGCTTGCCTTGTTCATTAGACAATAAATGACCAAAGATACCAAAGAAGTTGATAAAAAATCCTCAGTATGATACCCTAACACAGTCAAAGATACAAGTCGATAAAAAAGTCTCACTAAGGTATCCTAACACAATCAAAGATACAAGTCGATAAAAAAGTCTCACTATGGTACCCTACACAGTCAAAGATACAAGCCGATAAAAAAGACTCACTATGGTAACCTAACACAGTCAAAGATACAAGCCGATAAAAAAGACTCACTATGGTACCCTAACACAGTCAAAGATACAAGCCGATAAAAAAGACTCACTATGGTACCCTAACACAGTCAAAGATACAAGTCGATAAAAAGCCTCTCTATGGTACCCTAACACAGTCAAAGATACAAGTCGATAAAAAAGCCTCATTATGGTACCCTAACACAGTCAAAGATACAATTCAATAAAAAAGCCTCATTATGGTACCCTAACACAGTCAAAGATACAAGTAAATAAAAAAGCCTCATTATGGTACCCTAACACAGTCAAAGATACAAGTCGATAAACAAGTCTCACTATGGTACCCTAACTCAGTCAAAGATACAAGTCGATGAAAAAGCCTCACTATGGTACCCTAACACAGTCAAAGATACAAGTCGATGAAAAAGTCTCACTATGGTACCCTAACACAGTCAAAGATACAAGTCGATAAAAAAGACTCACTATGGTACCCTAACACAGTCAAAGATACAAGTCGTTAAAAATGTCTCACTATGGTACAAGTCAATAAAAAAGCCTCTCTATGGTACCCTAACACAGTCAAAGATACAAGTCGATAAAAAAGTCTCACTACCCTAACACAGTCAAAGATACAAGTCGATAAAAAAGACTCACTATGGTACCCTAACACAGTCAAAGATACAAGTCGATAAAAATGTCTCACTATGGTACAAGTCAATAAAAAAGCCTCACTATGGTACCCTAACACAGTCAAAGATACAAGTCGATGAAAAAGTCTCACTATGGTACCCTAACACAGTCAAAGATACAAGTCGATAAAAAAGACTCACTATGGTACCCTAACACAGTCAAAGATACAAGTCGATAAAAATGTCTCACTATGGTACCCTAACACAGTCAAAGATACAAGTCGGTAAAAAAGACTCACTATGGTACCCTAACCCAGTCAAAGATACAAGTCGATAAAAATGTCTCACTATGGTACCCTAACCCAGTCAAAGGTACAAGTCGATAAAAAAGCCTCACTATGGTACCCTTACACAGTCAAAGGTACAAGTCAATAAAAAAGTCACACTATAGTACCCTAACACAGTCTAAGATACAAGCCGATAAAAAAGACTCACTATGGTACCCTAACACAGTCAAAGATACAAGTTGATAAAAAAAAACCTCACTATGGTACCCTAATACAGCACACTATTGTACATTCTTCACTCATATTTTTGTAAAATTTGTCGTAATTTAGCAAACACAATTGATTATTACAACTGGAGTGCACCATTTAGTTTTATAAGCTGCTCTTTTGTTTGAATGAGAATCAAATGTAACATAGTTTAGAATTATCAACTCAATCAAAGTGTAAACAAATCAAATGTAAATCTCCTATTATAAATTCAGCATTGCGTCCCTGTCTCAATGTAATAATGATTACGACAATGGAAATTGTGTGATAATTCATAAAATAAAATCATTTGGTTGAAATGGGGAAAAGGATGAGAAAACAGAAACAGGAAATAAATATATTATAACTTTACACTAATACAGAATGTTATGAGTAGTAAGTGAGTACGGAGGTCTGATTGCCTCGTAGTATGAGGTAGGGAGGCATGTCCTTAGTGAGGAGCTCCAGCCAGGCCATGTACAAAGGAGCGGACACGGTGCCTTTACGAGGCATGGGCAGTGTCCTGAACATACAACAACAATGAGTATACACCAACATGTAAGCATGAAGATCCATCAACAAACATACCTCTCTTCCAGTATCTGAAGGCAATATACCAACTGTGTATAAAAAAATCAAAATTTCAAAAAAACAAAAAACCTTAAACACCTGGACACCTGGTGTTATGTAGGTAAAAAACACCTGGAGTTACTATGGATTGGTACCTAACCAAATTTTATCGAAATCGGACTACAGGTGTGGCCTGTAGCTCTGTACACATACACACACAGACATCACTTTCAAATAACTTTTTTCAAAACTCTAACTAAAAAATGTTGACAAAAACAATACTTTCTCCATAGTACTATGGTATAGCGGGAGAAAGAAAAAAGGTGTAACAGCTTTCTTGAGTTATATGGTGTGTCTTAACCCTCACACCAATAACTTTTATTTTATTTTATTTTTCTTTATGTTTATTTTGCATGTAGTTATAGGTGCAACCAACAACATGTTGAAAAACGTAAAGCTCATGTGAATAAAAATAATACCACAGACAATATAGTAATGTAGATTACGGTATAGCCATATAGCTAAATTCACATGGCATCCATTGAGCAGGATAGACATAAACTAGTAAGACAATGTAGATTACGGCATAGCCATATAGCTAAATTCACACGAAAACTTCATTATCATTGCATTACGTTATTTACGTTTTCTAGGATTTTTTCCCTAAAATTAAACCAAAAATTTCCCTTACATCCGTAACTCAAAATGTACACCCTCTCATTAATCTTGAGGGCAATGTCAGAGAATGGGACCGCTGAAAGATTTCCGTTTTGTCAATTTGTCAATGTCCTAGGAATGAATCACTGATTCTCGAGCATTGAACGAACTGCCATCATTTATCGGAAATCACTTAAATATTTAAGATATCGTTATGGATTCATTTGTCCCGAGTGGTTTTCATCATACATTTTTTAGCACAAATATCTATTTTTTTGTTAAGGAACTTATTCTACAAGTATAAATGATGACAAACGATAATTATAGGTTACTAGAAGAGTACCTGTCCTTTGTACGGGATTGGCCTATAAGTATAATACCCCCGCCGCAGCAAACCTGCAGACTAAGCGAATTTCCATTTGCCTGATTGGATTTAGACTAAAATGTCTCCTTAAAAATATCACATTTATTCCCTATTTAAATAGAATCAGTTTAACACGTACTTAGGTTTGCTGCAACAGGGAGGGTAAAAGTGTTTTTTTATGTAAAATGTTAATAGTTAGTAAGAAATAAAAACATTTTCCAAATTTGATCAAAATATGTTCATAAACAAGCACACTACAACGGTTTACTTATTCTCCATAAGAATAACATGGGAATTTTAAATTAACAATTTTTTTGAATTTTATCCGTAACCATTAGGCGCATTATAACGCTTCAATATACTAAATTATTTGTTTTTTTAAGCTCTACAAAATAGTTTGGAAAGAAATTTCAAAATTTTATGTTTTTTGGGTCAAAAATAGGAAAACCCCATTTTTACCCCATAAAAGCCCCCATAAACCCCTGTTCCCATGGTCCGATCATGCTGGTTCGCGAACTCGTTCGAATAAACGTAGGTTTACACGTTTGTACCAAATTTCATCAAAATCGGATCATTTTTGCTCTAGTTATCGCGCTAACGGACACACATATATATATATATATATGAGTTTGAACGGATGGTGTTTTTGGCCTCTAGGGACCTCAAAACGAAAAAAAAAATCGGTCCCGGGTCCAGGTCTTACCATGAGTACTACGGTAATAGCTTATTCCCTATATGGGAAATTCGCTAAAATGCTTATTGCACTTTTACTCGTGCTTTGCGTTTGCAATGGTAGGGGACAAATGGTTTGAGAAAATTTGGTTCTTTTAATTTACGGCATGCTATAGTATACCACATCTACCATAGCCATAATGTTCTTACCACTGCACCTAAACCATAGAAAAAAGTAAAGTTCAAATTAGCTGTTGTCATAAATGCAAAACAATTAATTGTGCTACACCCTGTTGGTAAGCCTTATAACTTTTAAATGCTATTTAATATCACAGAACCAACTTGGTTAACATGGGAAACCCCAGAGCCACTGGGGTGGAGCCCGAAAGGATTTTTGAGATAAGAATATGTTTATGTGTTAATCGGAAATGTGAGCTATCATCATACCAAATTTCAATTTATTATTTTTCACGTTTACTTGTCACAAACATCCATCCATCCATCCACACATCCATACATCCAAACTTTCTCACTTATAATATTAGTAGGATAGTAATGAGAGAAGTTGGCTATGTAATGTATACAACTCAAAAACATACAGTATATACAACTTGGAAAACTAGCTTTAAACATTTGCACTCAGTTAAAATGGCTCATTATCAGATATTTTGATAAATAAACAGGAAAGAGAAAGGTAAACCACATAGTGGGGTTATTAAATGGAGAATGTAAGCCAACATTAACAAGCCGTAATTCCCTCATCACATTCAAACCATCATTGTTATCTGTCCTTTGTACCTCACTGAGTATGATTATCTGTTTGACTCCAAATGAATTCACTGACTACCATCATATTACAAATATTGCGTTGACAGATTAATTTATTTTCTTCTAAAATAATAAAATTTTAAGCAAAATCACCATATTACAATATTTCCACTTGTTTGAAGTTTGTAGTAAATTTAATATCGTTTTCTACATTTTGGTGTGAACATATTATTTATTTTACTCGTAGGTAGGGTAAGAGTATGAGAATAGATACCTAGTTCATTGCCCATCAAACCAAACTTCTTTATAACCGTATTTTAACAAAAATGATTTTAAATGAAGATGATATTTAGCAACAGAATTTGGTTACTGATGTTATACTACAACCTTCAAGTCAATATAGGTAACCATAGACAAAAATAATTAAATATAGACAGTCAGCTGTGCTGCGGTAACCATAGGTTCTGGCGCACACCACTGGGAGCGCCATGTAGTTACGGCGTACACGCTACGTAACTACACGGCGCTAGAACTAGGTGTCCGCCAGAACCTATGGCAACCATGATAACCGCATTATGGCTGACAGTCTATATTTAATTCTTTTTGTCTATGATATAACTCACTGTTAATTTTTACAACATTAAAAAAAATACATTTGGCTGTTGGAAAACAATGTAAACTGTTTTTTGTAAAAAAAAAGTTTTTCCAAGTTTTAACCTCTATAACATTCCAATTTCTGTAAAGTAAGTAATTTAATATCCGTAACATAAGCAGTAATACAGTAAGTCCCTAATACAAATAATTAATTATGATAAATGGAAACTTGGAAGTGATTTAGCTTCACATTTAACACATTCATCCCATTAACTTTACCATCCCACTTGTTATCATTAGTATTTGTATTGAAATACTGTACTCCTATGATTGAAATACTGTACCTCCCATAAATAGAAATAGTATTTTTATTTTAAGTACTCTGACACTATTCACTGTACCACCAATGTACATGATTTACGAATAAAGATGTTTGAATATGAATATGAATATGTGTCCCTTTTGGTGTTATGGTGACTGAACAATAAAATAATTGCCTCTAAATTTCTTTTAACTTTTAGGATTTCCCTTAATAATGCAGAAACGAGCGATTAACTAGAGGGGTTGAACTCTTGTATACTAAAGATAGTTATACAATAGATAAAAATGCTTTAAGTACTAAAACTAAGAAGGTGGAGTAATTAAAGGATTCTTGTGTTTAATAGGGTTACAAGGTAAAAATATATGTACAAGAAATTCCATATAACTATGTATCTTAAAGTAATCTTGTGTGTTTAGTAAGACATATTAAATGGAGTATGGAATTATATTAAAGATAAGAATCAAAGTAGCTACACACAACTGCAAATGGAATCTTATCTTAGAGTTGTAATGGAATAGTGGAATACAGTACAATAAAACATCTCCAAACCAAAATAAAAGAATTGAACAGGCTTTAGAGGAAAACTGTAGATTAAAATAAAGGTTTCTTAAGTGGTACTATTTTAGGGTGCCGAATCAATAAATCCCATTCCCACAATGTTGCCATTTTAACAATTAAAACAAACCTAGTTTGATTGAGCGTAGTTGATAGGGTGTCCTGATGTCAATTAGTAATTTTTGTTGATTACACGTAAAACCATTTTCAAACTTTTTAACCAAGCAAAAGTGAAAGGACAGCTTATTGTTAACTATGGCAATTTATGCCCCATCAACTATCATAATGTCAAGAACAAAGAGATAAAATAAAATTTTGACTGTAGCACACTCTATGGAGTGATTTATAAGACTTAGTTCGATTTAGAAAAATATAAAAAGTAAGAAAAATGGTTACACCCAGTTAGTTATATATGGACGGCGTTGTCGTCCTGTAATCCAGCTACTAGGAGCTCACGAATTGTGGATATTTATAGGCATGCACTGTGGATGCGATACTCCCTGATGTGGATTAACGTCCGTACTAGTGAGTACTACGACCATCCGCAGTACTAGCCTGATAACTAGACCAATTCGTTAATACCAAGGCAAAATGTGGTTCAGATTCCACTATAAACTGTAGGTCTCTTAGTTGCCATTAGCTGTATGGGCTATTAATTAACAGCTGTGTCTAAGGAACATGTCGGCCTTAGTCACTAACAAGACTACAAGATCGCGCCACTCATCCACTCATCCTTCACTCATATTTGGGTTAAAATACGCACATAGTGGCGTCCCCATCTTAAATAATTGATATAAATTATGGATATGGTTATTATGGGAGAATGGGTCAACTTCTGTATTTAAAAACCAATAATACAGTGTATCAGAACCAATATTTGTGTAGATTGTTTCTCTGTCAAAACTAAATACAAATATAATAGTTATTATGCTGTAATAAAATATCATTGGTTGTACACAGTGTCGCCATTTGGTGTTTTCGGATAAAATATGTAGCCTACTGTGGCATGGCCCTCTAATACAAGGCCCCCCCAGGCCTGTTGCCATGGTAATAACAGTAATAATAACAAACATGTAAACATAAACATTGTGCATTAGCTCCATTATGAATTAGCGCATCAGCTGTTTAAGTAAACGTGGCTGTTAACATCACTATCATACCCAAGATATTAATTTCTGGTCAGAAAGGTGTCTGGATCAGTCGAGGTTTCCGGTACAACAATTTTTGTTTTGGAAAGGCTCTACTACTCTACTAAAAGTTTAAGATACTCACATAACTACAAAAGTAGAGTCCTTTGAGTATTCCTGCAATAGCTCCCTCAGCCTCATGTGTCTGTTGGTTTTCTCTGCGAGGACCAAAAGCTCCGACTCCATTATGTAATTTTTCTCTTCTGAAATTGCATTTTGATCAAGTTAAGTTTTTATAACTTTCAAAAATGTTGCATGAATTTTGGTCATTGTAAATCATTGTAATCATTGTAATATCAAAAACAGTTGAAAGATTCATAGTTTTTGTAATTACACTATTAATCATCTGTACCATACAAAAATTTGAGATTCATGTTTGTGTTTGTTTTTTGTTGTTAACTCAAAAAAGTGAAAGTTGATCCAATTGAAGAAAAAAAACTACATTTTGACAGAACTTTTAGTTGCATTCCTAGCTCTCACTTTTTTTCATAGATAAGACTTTTTGTCCCGGGTTCAAATCCCTATATCCCACCAAATCACCAATGGATTTTATCTATGTGATATTGCCGCAACCCTAAAGGTCTAGCCTGAAGTATGTGAAAAACAATCCTGTGCTCGTGCCTAGTGTTCTAGGACAAAAGAAAAATGGAAAGTAAGTTTTTCTACCATGCTTACCCTCCTCAGGTATGTTTTCATCATGAGGCAAAAAGTTTTCAATAATTTTGTCGAACTCCTGTTTCGTCTCTTCCCTGGCCTTCTTGGTGATGTCCGGAATGACTATGAGGTCGCTGTAGTCAATGCGAAACTTAGACAGAAGAGCCGCCAGACTGAAAACAGAAACATAAACTACAAACCACCCTTGCCAAGTGTTATAAGAAATTACAATTATCAGTACAAGCATTTACATAGATAACAAAATAAATACAGTGGAACCTCATTAACAAGCGATACTTGGTAATAAGTATCATATTTTAATACCCTTGATTTTATTTTAATTTATTACATATTATTGCGATCCTCGGTAAAAAAAGCTTTGAAAACAAGTCTGATGTGATATCACCCATATTGGAGATGTTTTATCGACAAAATCGACATTCAATTAAAGTACAGCACTGAGATAAATTTCAAATCCCATGCTCCCTTGCTTATTATTTTCATTAACACATCTTATTGGTTACAAAAAAGTGTGCTTAGGGAGTGATGTGTCTTATACAGTAATCATAGTTCCATATTGCTCTAGAGGTACTTCAACAAACTGTCATCCCAGCCAATAAGACATCAAAGTCAAAGTCAAATAAATCTTTATTCAGACATACAACAATGTGTACATGAATGCGTCTTAATCTTAAACTATAACTAATACTATATCCATCATTAATTAATTACGTACACTTTTTACAGATTTTGTTACAATAAAAAAATATATTAAAAATAGCTTTTCAATGATTAACTTTGTGTCACAGTAGTTAAAACAGTGCTGGAGTTCTAATCCATATAGGTATTTTAATTCATCAAATTAACTTTTTACTTAGACCTTTGCGACAACAATGAAAATACATAAAATTATCTTTCACCGTCTACTCTGCTGCTTTACTCATTTTCAAACCTTCATTATAGTATTGACTAGTATATACATTTAGTCAATGATTATAGTGATTCAAGATTCAAAACACACAATTTGACTCACTTGCGCTGATCACGGTCAAGCTGATTCTTGCGGTTAGCCAGAGAGAAGATCCTTAGCTTGCAATCTGCAAACTGTGATCTGGTCAGCAAGATGTGGGGAATGAGAAGAGTCAGACCTGTGCAGACATAACACTGTTACTGTTTGTGTATATGTGTAGAAAACATACTAAAAGAGACAAAGGTGGTTGGGTGCCAATATGATTTTGTGGTTAAATAAAGATACTGGTATATACAAAATTATTTAAATTTTGAACAGGTACGGTATAGGTATTGTTGATTAATTGTTGTACCATAATATTAACTAAATACTGCAGTATTTACCATTGACTAAACTCATACACTTATACTACATCTCCACAGGACATTACACAAATAAATTCTGATTCTGATTCAATATATGGCACAGTAATTAAGGCTACAGTGGCTTAATCAGAGCATTAGCCTTCAACATTTTAACCCTTTGATGCACAGTAAATTTTTTTTATTTCAATTTTTACTGAATTGATGTTTTTTGGTAACCTTAACCGTGTCAGAGCTCAGGAAAAATAATTTAAAAAATTTAATTTTGTTTTTATAATTTTTATTAATAAAAAACGAGGTGGTATTCTATACATACCACTGTGTATCAGTGCGTAGTCTAATGTGCATATAAAATATTAAAAACCTTCCTTGAAACGTAAAACCTACCAATATGTTACAGATGAGAAACAATTATTTACCTGTTCATGTATTGTAATAAAAAGATTACTTATCTAATCTATGTGAAAAATAGTGAATTAGCTCAAGATATTAGTAGGTACTGTACTCGTAAATACATTTGTATGACAATACTGAATACATTTGAAGGTCTGTTATTAAATAACAAGTTTCCAGAGAATCATTGTACAACATCGTATTCTCCAATTTTAAGATTCAAGATTCATCTTTATCTTAGTTCAGTTGTGAAACTCATAAAAACTATTTTTTGTCTGTCTAGCATAAGCACACTTTGCGCTCGTTACATTCCCAGTATGAGCGAATCTTTTTCTTTTTTGTGCTGCATAAGTTGCATCTCGTCCATGTTGATATTATGGGCATGTGAACGTTCTCCTTGAGCCTCTTTTCTACTGACATTTTAAATTTATGTTTGATCAAATTTAATTTAGCCTTTCCTTTGCCTTTCGTCGATTTTGAGTGTAAGCCATTCGTGTAGGAGATGCGGAATTGCTTCACCTGAGTTATGATTCCAAACGCAATAGGTGATTTATAATGATAAAAATAAATTATGTATTTTCATCAATGAAGATGAGTATATTTGCCGAAGAGAGACTAAGTTACTGTCATCTGGTCAATTATCTGATAAACCTATTTCATCTTAGCAACCGTCATTTAGAATTTCTGTTAGTAAGATGTCTTCAGTCATGTCTTTTGGATATCGGAGAATAATAAATAAATATTTAAAATATAGTAAGTAAAATTTATATGATTCATTTACCTGAAAAAATAGTGAAAATTATCACAAAATATGCTTGAAATTATATTTTAGCTTAGTAAGGCAACAACAAAATATGTCTAGTGTTAGTAGCATAGTGGTATTGTAGGTATACCACCTATATTTGGCAAAATAAACTTTCAGTTTGAACAAAAACAGTGTTTTTGACGCAATATAACAATTACATAGTGTCTAATTCAACATAAAAACATATATCTTACTTTGTTATATGTAATAGAAGGGTATACAAGACAGTCAAAACCTCTGCATAACAGCCTGTAGCCTGTAGCATGCAACGACGCTTTGAAACTTCAACTTTAATACTAAATTTATCTAGAAGCTACTAATTCCTCCAAAATACGCTAGGTTACAGCACTGACTAGGCCCCTGGTATGGTATTTCCACAATACCAGTATGCATCAATGCAGTAAAAATTATTTTACAAGTGGTATCCTGATAATACCACTGTGAATCAAAGGGTTAAGGCAATCCATGCTCTCAGGGGTAACAAATTCAGAATTTTAAAAATATTTAGGATATATTCAAACTTGGGATACTCTTTTAGACACATTAAACTTTAAAATCAGTTTAATACTTATGAAGAAGAAGTGTAAAAAGAGTTGGCGTCATGCATAGAAGGAGCATCAATGTCTGGTACTCATAATAGTACTTCTTATCCACACCCTTTTGCATAAGGCCTTACATCCATATAACCAATGGCCATAGTTACAATCAGTGATAAAACATTGACATCAGTATGATAATGAATACTTTTCTTGGCAACACTTTGAAACGTTATGTTGGAACTACATAGACAAAAAAAATTTGTTTAAAATAATTAATTAATTGCTGTTTAATAATAAATGGCCGGTATATTCACCAACCTCCATCGTCATAGAGCCACCAGACATCGACGAAGCCTTTCTCCTGTTTCCGTCGGAAGTGTGTGAGTTGCCGCATGATGTTGTTGGGTAGTGGCTCGCCCTCAGCACTGACGTACATCTCTGAGCCGTCCTTCCCCTTGGCGGAGTCTTGCTTGGCGGGGGCCTCCATGATCTCCTGGGTCTCCTGCATAACCTCTACAGAAACTTCTTCGACCGGCTCGCCTTGATCTTGGTCTGCCACTATTTCTACGTCGCCCAACTCCTCTGTTACACAGTTTCAAAATTTAGTTAGGTAATTTAAATCGTAGCCTTCCAAAGCTATCACATTAGATTTATGTTAAATGTGTTTACTTTGCCGCCAACTCATCGAGATGCATAGTTAAAGCAAAATATAAGTAAAAGTAACAAGTATAAGAGTCCTCCAAGCCAAAACCATGGACAAAAGAATTAAATATGACTGACAAAAGAAGGTTCCGCGATGTACCGCTAGAGCATGTTCAGTGTTCACCGATTCGCTGCCGTCGTACTCACCGTCTGCTACCATCACTACCACCCTTGCAAACGAAATGCTACCAACGTATCAGACCCACTTTTCATTATCGGTAAAGTACAAAATTCTGAAATCCCATCATTTTAACAAAAAAGTCAAATTTTTTAAAAATCCTGTAAATTTTTAAAACACGGAAAAATAACGGAACAAACTCCTAGTCCCCGGATTCTGGGGAATTCTCTAGAAGTTGGCAACCCTGGCTTCAACTACCAACTTTTCATGGCAACGCTCGCTAGCGCTTGACGCTGCAGCTGTGCAGCAAAACTACATGGCACTCCTGGCGGTGGACGCCAGAATATATGCTAACCGCAGCACTCCTGTCAGTCTATATTTAATTCTTTTGCCTATGCCAAAACTGAAAATAGCTCATAATGGATGGTAAACAATAAGAATTATTCATGCTGAAGTTAAACAAAAAATAACTGACAAATAATTGCAAAGAGATACGTTGTCAAAAATCTCTTGACATATTGGGTAGCCTGTAGTAAAATTTTCTACATTTGGATGCTTCCAGTCATACATGTGGACTACATGCACATAGCTGTAAAGGTTTGTCTTTTGTGTAAACTGTGTTTAACTTATTTTTGCAACATATCTAGAAGTGCTGAATACTTTTTCTAGCCTGACGATGGCGGAGTTCTGATAACCGTTGAAACATATGTAGCAAGTTTTACTACATGTTACTCTATATGTAAAGGATCATCTGACGAGGTATGTCTTGGCCATAAATTATGATTTATTGTAATCTTAGAACTATCAAAATTAATTATGAAAATAGTTTTAATTTTGAAAAGTTCGTTGATGTATGTTCGAGTGAAAATATTAAATTTAGACATATTTCCTATCCATAAACTTTATATTTGTAACCAGGACTATAGAAGAGTTAGGATGTAAATATACCTAATGTATGGTTCACTGAGTCACTAAAACACAGCAAGAAGTTCTAACTTCTAAAAATATTGAAATAAATTAATAATACAACTACACTCTGGGCAAAAAAAAATATTTTACAATAACTGGTCCCTTGTTCATGTTGGAGGTTCCTTTTACTGACCTTTTACAACATTAAAACGCTCAGTAATATTTTAATTTTCTATCATATACTACCCCCCTTTACCCCTTTACTGAAAATCTCTTACCTGTAGCTCCTTGCCTATTTTTATACACTGATGATACCAGGCACCCTACCCTATGCCTCATGCTCCTTAAAAGTAGGCTATACATGCACATTTCAAAACTTAATGATGAGTAAAATTTTAACCCTGTTATCAACCAAGCTTTTCCACCTCTTTCCAAGGCCCCACTAAAAAAACAGGCCATGCTGCAGGATCCATGACGTCACACTAGTGGATAGATTTCATTGATAAAATCATTGCCATCGCCATTCCCATATGTTTTAGGAAAATAAACATGCGGGCTGTTTGTAAGATTTTAATAGTAAGAGTTTAGTACAACTATCCACTACTGTGACGTAGTGTTGCGCTGCCCGTGCTGCAGCATGGCCTGTTTTTCTAGTGGGGCCTTGCTCTTTCCCAAGCATCCCACCATATTCTTAAGCTTGCCTTCACCTTTCAAAATCTAGCCCTCTGCCTTTCTAAGCTCCCTGCAACCTTCTCAAGCTCCCCACTACATTCTCAAGCTGCCTTTGCCACTACTATCTTCCCAACTTCTCACATTCTACCCAAAATTTACCTGCCACCTTTCTCAAACCCTCACAAACATTCTGAAACTACCTTCACTACCTTCTTGAGTTTCTCATTACATTCTCAAAATACCTTTGCTACCTTATGAGATTCTGATTACATTCTCAAGATACATTTTTGCTACTTTCTCAAGCTTATGCTATCTTCAAGCTCCTCGCCACATACTCAAGCATCCTTCCACCATCTCAAGCTCCCCACTACATTCTCAAGCCCTGCACTACATTCTCAAGCCCTGCACAGTGTTGCCAGGTGTACAATAATTATTGTATTTGTACGATTCTTTTGCTCCTTCCCCACAAAAAATAATTTTGAAAAATTGTACGATAATTTTGACATTGTGTGCGATTTTTTGTCATAATGTACGATTATTTTTTGGGGGCTGGAAAATAAACTATTTCATATTGATTATTACTCATTTAAACACGTTTCCCACTTTTAATATATGGAAAAACGGTAACATCACTTCGTTGCAGTTCGATCTGGCAACCTTGCAAAGGCATCAGCTGTGTTAGAGAGGGCCCAATGGCTACCAACTTAAGTGTTTATAGGAGAATTTTGAGAGAAGTTAGCCCGTTGTACCTACAATTATTGTACTCAGTACATTGGCAGTAGGGGAATAAAATAAAGCAATGAGCTGGTTGATTTTTCCAGTTGAGAACCAAAATACCATCATTTTACAGCGTTTCAATTTTTTTCTAGCAGAGATGCAGATTCCGTGTGTGTGTGATAGTGTGCTGCCTCCGGTAGAATTTATATTTTTCTAGCTCAGTGGTAGGCTGGTAGAGCAAAAAAAGTGGGCGGCAGAGACAAATAGAGTAAAATTTCGACCATTCCATCATCGACTTGCTTGTTTTACATTATAATATAAAAGAAAATTGTGTGTACGATAATTTTGCCCCAAATATGATAATTTTGGACTGCTTGTACGATAATTTACGCCGGCCAATCTGGCAACACTGGCCTTGCACTACATTCTCAAGCAACCGTTGCTACTTCCTCAAGCTTCCCAAGCAAATGCCATGCTCCCAAGCTCCCGCCACCTTTACCTAGTTCCGCACCAGATTGGTTCCTCCTCATTTTGTCCTCAGCATCTTTCTCGTCCAGAGAAGAGATCATGACAACATCCTTGTCCTGAAGCAGAGCAGAGTAGTCTAGTCCATTGGGCATTCTGAGGATGGCTACGGCCAAATAGGTGTCCAGTGCAGAGCTAAAAAGCATACATAATACCTTTAAACCTTTCTGAGACCAATCAAAAAATGTAACATCGTTTAATCTTGAAATAGTCTTAATTCATATAAGATACATGAATAGAATTGTATGAGCCAAAAGTATAATTATTTCAATGTATTTATCATTTATAGATATAGATGTAGAGATTACAAAATATTAGATGGATTAATAACAAGAATCACAAATAATTTTAGGAAGTTGCCTGAAAGTACAAAAATCTAAAACTAACTTCTTTGCTGAATATGATAATTCCGGAAGTAGAACATTTTCCCACCATTTAACTTAGCTTCCTAACTTTGATGATTATTATTTTTTAGTGTTCATACTAAAAAATTATTTAATTTGTAGAAACAGCTGTGTTTAGCATAGATTGTTGCACTGTAAAATTGTTCCCTAAGGGTTAAAAACTAACTTTTCCCTTAGACAATAAAAAAAAAAAACATATGTTTAACCCATAAGACACATTTCTTTCACTTTAAGCAAGGAACTATTCAGTATGGCTCCGATATAGTTTATTGCTACTCACTGTATGATGCCGAAGTACTGGATGAGATGATCTCTGGGACATGTCTGCCAGTCACTCTTGTACCCTATCAGCACAGTGTTGGGTCTCAGCTTGCCGAGTCCTGCTATCTGCATCAGCGACTGAGCTGCCGTCTCGAAATTGCCAGTTCCCTCCTCTGCGATGCTGACGAACGCTTTGATCCGATGCTGCTCCAACCAACGGTACGCTTTCTGGCTCAGGGCTTCGTACACTCGCTGTGAGTGAGTCCCCTGTTTGGTATAAATAATGTCTGTTATTGACCAGCTGTTTTGATGATAGTTGACTAAATGTAAACGATTATTGGAGTACTTTGGTTCAACATCAGGTTGAAAAGTTGGCTTATTGGTAAGTAGTATAGGTACTTAATCCAACTACTAGGAGGTTACGAATTGTGGATATTCATAGGCATGCACTGTGGATGGGATACTCCCTGGTGTGGATTAATGTCCACTTGAGTCTATCCGCAGTACTATCCTGAAAATTATACCAATTCGTATACACCAAGGCAAAAATGTGGTTCGGATTCCACTATAAACTGCTGTATGGGCTATTAATTAACATCTTTGTCTAAAGAAATAATTCGGAATTAGTCACTAACAAGACTACAAGATCGCACCACTCATCCTACACTCATCTCCATTCATGTTTGGCTTAAAATACCTACTTTGTATGGTCACCGTTTCATTGAAAAGTATTAAGTATTAAGGTTTTAGAGCAACATGTTTAAACGTTTAAAGTATACATTCAGTATCAACTTGAATAGGAAAGAAACTAGATCTAATAAAAATGAGTCAGCTCAGCATAAAATACAACTGCAGATTTAATTCACTATCGCCCTTATGGATCAGCTGAAGATATATGGGGGAATGTTTTTGTCTGGTAACTCACGAGTGGGTTAACAGGTCATCAGTATTAACAGGTCATTTAATTACGTTAAATTTTAACAAGAACAAATAGAATGATCAATTTTTGAACTCTGCCTGTGCCCTTTGTATTATCATTGACTATTGGATACAGAAGATTGGATAATATTGGATATTAATACGTTGTTGTATTAAAAGTCAATGGTATTATAAACAAAGATCAGAGTACCTACTGTAAAATTTATCCCCAAACATATGAAAAGCTACAGATAATACAATGGGATAGAAAGTTTATTTTATAAAATAGTAATAATAGAAGGGTCAATAAAATGAAGCTGATTAATAAAGTTGATGACGAAGAAATACTGAAGTCTATGTATCAAGTCATAAATTATCCTGAATTCAATAATTTCAATTGAAACCCAGGACTCTGTCAGAAAATTTACCACTCATCAATTACATCTTCACCGATCTACCCTGCTATAGTTCCTTGACAAAATATAGGCGGTTTAAGGGGAAGGTCTCTTGGGTTCCTCTACTACTTTTTTAGCATAATCTATAAATCAGCTGATAAGCCATCAGCTGTTTTTCCAAAGTTAGTGTGAGGTGGAGTGTAATTCCGTTTGTTCAAACCTTCTAAATTTTTTCAACGGAGTATAGTCAGGTCCAATCAAAATTAACAAATAAATTAAATAACTTGTCACTTTTAATTACTGCAAAGTGATACTCTTCTACTTTTGTTCCTCATGTTTGAAAATCAACAGTGGATATGCTAATTAACGAAACCATCCTCACACCTTGACAATGTGTCCGCACATGAGTAGAGAGTTTCCTTTGGTGACAAGATGAGCGAAGTCTATGAGAGGAGGTCGAGCGCCAGGCAGTCCTGACATCACCAGTAACTGAGGACGGTAGTTCTTGACGTGCTCCTGCACCTTGTTGAGGTCGAGGGTTGATTTGAGCGCAAAGTTGTAAGCCTGAGCTTGAGTGGAAGAGCCCCAGTTGACTTCTGTAAGACACAGTTTTAGTTGTATGTTAGTGTTAGTGTTTGGTTGAATGGGAAGAGTGGTGATGATTTGTGCAAAACCTATATTCACACTTTGGAAAATCAGATCGAACAGTATCCTTGTCAAACTTTATAATATAGTGTGAGCAATGAATACAAAAGAAGCTAAATGCTTATGGAGAATAGTAAGCGAAATTTTGCCGCCGAAATGAGCGCTGCGCGGCCACCTCTACGATCCCTCGGGCGTTAAACACCCTACTATCTCTCTCTCTCTCTAAGCCGATTCTTTGTCTCACTCTCTCTCTCACTCAGTCAACTTACTTGGCCACGTGCTCGCAATAGTCTACCTAGAGGACGCCGCAGGAACTATCCAAAATTCAAATATTTCCCAGACTGAATTTTTTACAAAGGCATTGCCCTTCTTATGAGTTTTGTATTCATTGGTCTTATAGCCAGTTGTATTTGAGCCACAATGATGACATGGGCAATAATTTGCACAAAAATAAGCCCCCCCTGAAAAGCCAATTGCCTTGCGCCCTAGGCACGTGCTTAACGTGGCTATTCAGTAAATCGGCCCTGCACAGTTGGTCTTTAAGACAAAATCATAAATTTAAAAATAATTTTTTGTTTATAAAGAGATTAAATGTTAAATAAGCTATACAGTCCTACGTCCTATTTTTTTAAAATTTTGAAATTACTTTACTTAAAACATATTTTAAACTTAAAAAGCTTCTTTTTGAAATGCTGATCATATTAAAAGCTTTCATGCGACTATGTATCATGACTCTTAACATTGACTACTAAATACTTGCCAGGCTTCCTGTAGGAGACGTAAAGATAAAGAGTAATGACGACAAAGAACGTAACTAGGGCAGTCCACCAGGAGATGAGGAACATGACAGCGATGCATAGCAGTGTTCCCACCAGACTCACCCAGGCGTTGTAGTACTACCAACATTGCAGAAAAAATCATAAAACATTGACAAATTATTGAAAACACATTGAAATCCACTGAAACTTAAATAATAAAAGCCAAAATTAGTTAAAAATAAAACATGAGTTTCCTTTATATTGCTTTGACAATCAAAATAAACTAGACCGAGCCATGGCTCGGTCCCCAGGTACTAGGTTGTTAAATTGAAAATGATCACAAAACTCTACATGCTGGCGCTCATCAATCGAGTTGATTTACACAAACGCAGTATTTTAATTGTTGTGGTGTACGAGTTTTTTTTTCTGGGATTGCAGTACAATGTTGGTTTTGACTTAATAACTCAATAACTCCTTTATTCAACCAAAGTAACAAACACAGATTTGCATTTGTCATGTCAAACTTAACACAGAGTTGATCATAAAAGGATTTTGCACAATTAGCAAAGCATTCAAACACTTGTAAAAGAAATAAAGTATGTAAAAGACTGCCTACCTTAAAAGCAGGCCGCCATCCAGGGCACTTTGAGATTGAGGCATGGAACACAGAAAAGTTGATGAGAGCATAAGCAGCCAAGAAGAAATTTGAGAGAAGGGGAGCAATAGCATTCAGCTGGGCTGTAAACAGTAATAAATTTAAACCAAGCTACAATTTACAGATTTTAGTATTAAATGATATTTCATCAAAAATTCCAGTTAAGAACATTAGTCATTTGTTCAACAAGCTATTAAGGCGAACAAATTGCAAAACTTGACCTAAGAAATATTATATTTTTTTATTGAGATCACGCTAAGTGTGTGTGTTGCCGCTTTATTTAATATTTTCTAACACTGTATATTTTAAAATTATTATCTTGGTTTTTGGGATATTTATCTTGAGTAGCACAAGAAATTGGTTCAATAATGGAGGAAAATTTGATACCATCAAATACTTTTCTTATACTATTCTCATTTTTTATTACGACTCAGTGCTTCGGTAAATTAGTAGAATAAGCATATTTTCCATTGGTCATGGCATACTCAAAAATACTGGAAGTACAATTACTAAGATTGGACTAGTGTACCTGTTGCTTGAATTCAAGCAATTGCAAGGTGTTACAGGCGTTATTTTAAAACAAAAAAACAGTCTTAATTTCCAATGACTTTAAAAGAGTTGACTCAAAGATTATGGAAATAATCACAATGTACATCCTAGAACTTCAGAGTGAAAGACAATTAATATTATTATGATAATCTTAAACTGCACTGCATCGTAACTCTTACGAGGGTCGTCTCAAAAGTAAGTTACACCTATTTCCAAAATAAATAAAAAAAGCCAAATTTGATTTGAAAAGGGTAAATTTTAAAGATACATACATTGACTATTTTTCTACGCAATCGCCATCTTTTTAAAGGCATTTTTGATAACGTGGCAACAGTTTTTTTAGTCCAGCATCATACCACTCTGCCGCCATTTTGGTTAGCCATTGTTCCACCTCCCGTTTCAGTTTGTCTTCGTTTTCAAAGCGCTTCCCGCCTAAATGCCGCTTCAACTCCGGGAAGAGATGAAATTCACTCGGCGCCAAGTCAGGAGAGTAAGGTGGATGGCCGAAAACATCCCATCGGAAGGATTCCAGAAGGTCTTGTGTTTGTGTTCAGCATCAACCCTTTGCTCCTTATGCCTTTCTGAAAGAAGGCGTGGCACCCATCTTGCACAGACTTTTGACAAACTGAGATCATCCCAAATGATTCTGTGAAGCGACGCACGACTAATTTCAACATTTGGAGGAAGCTGTGTAATGATTTCATCCAATGTCAAGCGCCGGTTGGTGTCAATGACCTTGCGGACATCTTCAACAACAGTCAAAGCGCGGGAAGTGGACGGGCGTCCACTTCGTTGTTCATCGTGTAACGATTTTCGTCCATCAATAAACGATTGACGCCAGCGGGAAACCATTGGCCTAGACATCACATTTTCACCATAAACACTGCACAATTCTCGATGAATTTCACTTGCATTTTTATTCTTTGCAGTCAAAAATCTAATTACTGCACGGATTTCACAATCGGCGGTGGGAACAAGTGGTGTCTCCATTATTGCCAAAGCGATACTGGAGGGGCGAGTGCCGTAGGCGGCCGCGACGTTTACAGTGTTGCCACTACATCCAGACGAAAATTCCCCGCGACTCCCAGCTTTCTAGCACTCGACGCTGTGATTTCAAACAAATGTGTAACTTACTTTTGAGACGACCCTCGTAGAAACAGACTTTATAAAAACCCAGAGCAGTAAAACTTATAAATCTATTCAGTACTGAGCTGTATTTGAAACATTATATTCCTGGCTGGAACTTTGTTCAAAGATGATTTTAGTGTTAAGTTTAGATATAATAGAAATACCAACCAATGAGAATGCAGCCGAAAGCGATGCCGGAGACAAGAATATAGCCTCGGGCTGGGTCATTGTTCGCTCCGTAGCCTTTAGCAAAGAACTCTATATTTGGATACAGTTTGTCTTTTGCTAGGGCCTGTAAAATACATTTTTGTTAGAATACAGAAGCTTTAAACAAGAAACAAAATTCAAGGATAAACTGTTTAATCGGCTGAACAGTTTTAAAACTTTACTTTGCGTAAACTGATTTCACTTCTGTGACAAAACTGTGTTGATGTTGTTGATCAACCCCTATTTTGTCCACACAGTACACAGTATTTTTGTTTGGAAACAATAATTTTACCACTTGTTTATTGAGCTACTTAGCTTCACATTTCTGTCATTCAGCAAAACTCTTTTATGTGATATGATGGTTTTGATTTTGACTCTAGATGTACTAAACAGTACCATACTAGAATTTTCATTTTATGTTAAATGTCAGTTTTACAATAAGAAATCATTCAATTGAGTCACAGACGCTGTATGCTCTGCTGTAAAATACAATTTTCTTCTGTATAGAAATTAATCATGGAAGAGCAACTTGCTGCAAATTATAGCACATTTTATGTCCCTATCAACTAGATACTATTAGTGTAGTATAAAAAAACTGAACCAGGAAAATATAACTTCAGAAGAACACACACTCTAGCAGAAGTTCTTTTTTGTGCAAAAAAGCCAAAAGCTAGCTGAATTCAGCTGATTTGTAGATGGAATGTCCTTTTCAATTCAAATTTGAATGGTTCCATTTTGAACCAAGGCAAATATTCTTAGGATTTAATTTATGAAAATATAAATTACTATAAATTAAAGAGCAAACTGTAAAATTTACAAAACAGTTGGAAATATTCACTCTAGCCAACACCGACAATCAAGTGTTGTTCAACATGAAACAATCATAAAAACAGACTTCATAATTTTAAATGGCATGAAAAGTCTATTTGAAGAATAAAATATAGTTTTATGTTTTTAACATGCTGAGATGTTAAGAGTCTTACTGGGCATAATTTACTGTAACATTTTTGCAGAACAAGAAACTCCAAAGAATCTATTGGCAGATGAGGCAGTCGACTGTAAGAGAGCCAATAGTCCAGGGATACTTGAACACTCTGACATAAACGGAATTAGGGCTGGAGGGGATGCTCAAGACAGCGCTGAAGACAGTTTTGGGGGCGTAAGTAAGTACGTAAATAACGCCAATCACCTGTAGCACTCTAGGAGCTCCGACCAGACTTGCGATGGCAGAGGAGAGAGTGGCAGCGAAACAACCTCCGTAGATGAGAGGACCCCACAGCGAGGCTAACTCCATAGCCTGCATAAAAGTGACGGTTGGTAAGGTCAAAAATATGAGGGTCTTATAGTAAAACCTGAAATCTTAAAAATCATAAATTTTACACAACAACATATAAATACTGTATATCTTAAATTGGGTCTGAAATAACTCTTTTTGACGGCTCGAACAGTTTAACGACTAAAGCGTCGACAAGGTTGAGAAAAGTGTGAGGGTTGAAAATACACTTTGGTTTTTGTGATGAACTCTACTATTTGCCATACTGCACCAATTATTGAGCTAAATAGCTCATAGTACGTAAATTTTGTACATTGTTTACCTTTTATGGATTATGTCCTCTACTCTGCCTGATTCTTTTTGGCCCTAGGGATTAAAATAGCTGTAAACTTGGGTTAATTAGATAACAGTAAGGTACGCTACAATTAACAAAAAAGTCTGACCTCTATATATACTTTTCCAAAACCTCTATTAAATCTGTAACTGGTCACTCAGCTATTATGAATATTACCATTGAAATGCACGTTGAAATTCCTACCAAAATAAATGTTGAATGTATCTATGGTACTACTTGAGACATAATAAATATTTTAACTAGAAACAATATATTACCTGATTGTCATTCTGCATTCCGTATCTGCAAGTTCCGTTGCAGCTACCAATTTGCTCAAACAGCTCGTGATCTTTCAGCCCTTCAAACTCTGTTACCAGCGTCACGTTCCCGGAAGCGTCCCGTAACATGCAGCCTCCCATCATGAAGGCATAGCTGATGTACGACAGAAACGTTGAGGCTATTGCCAGCAACGTGCCCTTGGGAATTGCTGAACTTGGGTCCTGTATAAACAAGTCTCCTATAAGGTCACAACAGTAGTAGATGCCTACAGTAGTGTGCTAACAGTAGTGGTAGATGTAGTAGATGATGTTTTTTTTTACCATCGTGATGGAAAATGTCCGCAATAAACCTTTGAACAACAGTAGTAGATGGTAGTGATTTGACATCAGCTGATGTAATGTCTGTCCATACAACTTTGCAAAACAGTTTGGCTATTGACAGTGTAAAATCACTGATTAAAAGTAAAATATTTAAACTCAAGAGCATTAAACAAACATTGTATTTGATTGAACATAGAATAACTGCCCACTACCTGCCGATCTTGTCCGGTTAACCAATGTGCTGATAAAAATTGTCCGCTTAAAGAGATGTCATTTCCGCCGAGTGTAGTCCGGTTAAAACGATGTCTGGTTAAAAGGTGTCCGGATAAGAGGGAGTCTACTGTACCTTTAGATCCCCAGACAGATTCGCCCCTGCTACGATTCCTGTCACTGCAGGGAAGAATACAGCAAATACTGAAAAGAAGTCATGTTCCACCCCCTCAAATGTTCTGTAGTCAGGGCCAAGGTTTTCCTTGAACAATTCTACTGAAACAGAAAACCCCTCGTTTAGGCAATTAAAATGTAAATTTAAACACTTTAGACAGTGTAAGTTTTCTGAGCTAACAGATTGTAACATTGTAGAGCACTGAATATGGAATAAAGATAATCAATTGTGCCTGATAAAAGTAGTAGGGAATATTTATTTTGCATTCTTAATCTTCTTAAATGGCTTCATTATAAAAACAAAACTTGTATTCATACAATCATTCACTTTAAATTTCCTGACACTGCCAAAGATTGCCTCATAATAAATGCTACTCCATGGTACCAGTATATACTCATATGGATACAGTAACAGACGAAATACTTAATCACTGAATTGCTTTTACAACTAATTACAGTAGAGTACTTACAGTTGTAACCAACAAATCCTTTGGCCACTTCAAGGTCATTTTTAGGTCCAAGGATAGTTCCAATGACAAAGTCTATCTGTGAGAAGAGTAGTACCACCAGAAGACACATTTGAGTCTGTGAAAAAACATTAATTAAGATAATTTACAGTACTAATTTACTACCTCGGATTGAATTTATGGAACTAACCGTTGATTTTTTTAGGTCAAAGCCATTCCTGTTCAAAATAATTGTACCCCGTTCCCTATAGTTTTTTGATCTGGATCAGCATCATGTCGATCAGCGATGAAATACATGTAGGGGCGTACCTAGGGGGGGGCCCACCCCCTAGACTTAGAAATGGTATATTTTGTTTAGAACCCCTACCATTCAGTTGTCTCCCCCAAATTCTATCCTAGGTACGCCCCTGTATACATGTTTACAGTGTTGGCCGTTTTCAACCTTTTAGACTATCGGACCTAGTCCTGTGAAATTCTATTAGAGGTCATCATACTTACCCTAGTGACCCAGTCCATTCCAACAAATGCCAGGATTAGTATACCGACTAGAGTGACTGACCCGACGAGTCGTACGTCGTTAGTCCCGTTGTCGATGATTGACGTGCCGAACATCCTCATGACGTCCTGCACAGACTCGCAGAAGCCTACGATGTACATGGAGACAGCTACGGAGTTGGCGAGTGTAAACATAAGACCAATGGCCCCTCCAAACTCTGGACCCAGCGAACGAGAGATCATGTAGTAGATACCACCTGTAGGAGCAAATTTATTGTTGAATATTACTGTTCTTTGAGGTATAGAGTGGTCTAACATGTACAAAACATTTTTGTCATGAAAGTATTAACTGATGTAGTTTGAAAGAGTTATCATATATGTACCGGTACCCTTTTGTAAAAAAGCATCTCCAATATAGATTCAGCTCTAATTTTCATTCCTAAAAGTCCAATTTTTCTTTCAGTATATAAAATAATTTCTTCAAGATATAGAAATAACACACAATAAAGAATTTTTTATGATGCTATAGGATAACTTAATAGGATATTGCTTGCCTAGTGGTTAGCGTCTTGGACTTCGGTAAGCTGTTTTACACTATACAACATTTTTTTTGTTGAGGCAATTGTAATATGATATACGGTAACAATTATTATTTTACAAATTTTAGACTTGGACGTATAAAATAATATGCTCTTACAACATAAACATAACTAAGTTGAGGAGAATGTATCTTTAAAGGTGTTTTACTTCTCAGAATAAACTACAAACTAAAAGCATTTTCTAAACAAAGTTTTTCTTCAAAACTGCCTCCAAAACTATACTCTGTCCCAAAATAATATATTTAAGAAGAATTAAATGCAATACCTACATTTAAGCAGGAACAACAGCTATGTTTGTTTAGCGCCACTATGCAGAGAATTTTCATACTCGGCAGTTAAAATATTGCAACCTATATGCTTGTACTTGTTTAAATAGCATTTATTTAATTATGTTGTTATTAGACTATAAAATATCCCCGTTGCAGCCAACCTGCCTACCAAACGAATTTCCATATGCCTGATTGAATTTTCAATAAAATATCTTTTTCCTACAGTTACCTAACAATGTACATGTTCTCTCACTCATTTGAGAAAGCAAAGTGGCCAATTCGCTCATCAGTGAGACAATGTTAACATTGTCTCACTCTAATTACTTTGTCTCACTCCAGATTTGCAACGTGAAGGCACGAAATAGTGAGCGTGTAACATGCAGGCAACGTCGTATGCGCGCGAAATACGTTGGCAGCACTGGCTGTAAATCAGCTGGTCAGCTGTTGTACTGTTGTATTTGCCACTTAACGTTAAATGTTATATTAAAAGTTCACTTCTGTGTAAAAATAGGTTATGTTTCTTCACCAATTTATTTGTTTTACGGTAACTGTAGGAAAAGTATAATGTGCAACTCGAGTTCAAAGTACAATTGCCTCACTCGAGAAACCATTCCTCACTCGCCTACGGCTCGTGAGTAAGGATTTCTCTCGAGTGAGTCAATTGCTCACTTTTCTCACTAGTTGCACAAATAACCATTTAAATATGTCATTTGTATTTCCCATTTAAAATAAAATTGTAATGAGTATAGGTGTGCTGCTATAGGGAAGATAATAATTAACAAAGTGTTTTTACTGAAAATAGACAGTTTGTATTTAATTCAATATACAGTTTGTCTATTTGATTTGTAATCACCATAATATATAAATTTTCAAAATTTGATAAAAATATGTTCATAAAAGAGCAAACTACAACCACTTATAAAAGAATAAATTATTTGTTTTTTTAAGCTCTACAAAATGGTTAAGAAATAAATTACAAAATTTGTATGGTTAAAATAAGTTATAAAAACCAATTTTTATGAATTAAATTAATTGTAGATAGAAACCTCCATCATAAACTCCTGTTACCATTGTCCGATCATGATAGTTCGCAAACTAGTTTGAATAGATGTTGGTTTACACGTTTATTACCAAATTGAATCAAAATCAGATAATTTTTGCTCGAGTTATCATGTCAACGGAAACTATGAATTTGAAGGGATGGTATTTTTGGCCTCTGGGGACTCAAAATGAAATAGTAAATCTAACGGGTCAAGACCATGAGACATACGGTAAAAGCTTATATAAGGGAATTTTGCTATGAAACAAAAGCCCAGAAAAAAATTATCCACACGTTGATTTTTAAACACTAATTATTGAGTTTAAATAATCTTTCTATGCGATCCTACATCAGAAAAATGACAGTATTTATCAAATATAGTACAGCATTGGTAGTTATTTTATCAAATTATTAACTCCTTACCATGTAAAACCCCTCCACCATGAGTTAGATTTAGAGAAAAGCCACTAGAGGCCATTGTATGTCTTAGTGTAGAGTTACCGACCTGCTTCTATCTCTCCGTTAGTGCTTACGGCAGACATGGAAATTGCCGTGACGAGAGTTACAGTATTGGCAAACAAGATCACCGAGACACCCTGAACTGAAACATCCATGCACATGCGTCACAGCCCCTGCAATCATTGCAATCATTGTGCTTTGTAACTGACCCTGCAGTTAGGGCAATCGCAATCGCTGGTCAATTGAGCGCCAGGAGTGTGAAAACGCAAACATATTGTCAATAGTAACATCAAATGTTAAAAGCTTAATAGCTTAGCCAATGTTCAGTCATTTTAAGGTTTATGGTATATTTTAGAGATGGAAATTGTATCCAAAATACTAGCAAAAAAGCGTAAAAACTGCGATAGTGAAAATAAAATGTGGAAAAAGCGAGTAATGCAAATAACACTGTGTAGTGTGTGTGTTGATAATAGTAAAGCTGTCACACTCAAAAATAAACCTATGGTTTACTCTTCACACTGAAAACATGTATGCAAAAAAAATTAAAATAACTTAGTGCAAAATTCACAGCCATGAAACTCATTGATAAAAGCAAAAAAAGCTGTGCAGGCTCTTGGTTGTTTAGGGTACCTCCTTCAATCAGCCCGTTGGTGCTGACAGCTGACATTGACAATGTGGTGAACAGAGTGACTATGTTGGCCAAACATATGACAGCTACTCCCCACCCTAGAACCACCTTCACTCAAGAAACTGGTACGAACAAGTTATTGAAGGGATCTCTGTGGATATCACTGTTAGTAGTATTACACAATTTACAAGTTTCGGAATCTGGAATCTACACCCATCCTCAGTTGAGGAAGTGCCTAAAACGCAAACAAAAATAGTATACAAACAGCCAAAGCTGGAAAATCACAAAAGAAAACTCACTGTATATGGTATTAAAAACAGGATAATAGTTTCAAGTGAAAACCAGTGGTGTAGAGGGGTGAGAATAGTTATGTTCTTGGATTCCCAGTGATACCATGAACTGTTAGTCAGTTCACAATGGCGAGCATTCCCACTTTGAAAAATTCACCCCTACACCGCAAGTTAAACAGAAACTGTTAAAAATATGGGGTAGGTGAACACAATGGTTATGTCTGCAAAAGAATGTAGCCCAAGTGAGACTGGAACAAGTAACTGTTATAGGGTAGTTACACACAATGAGCCGAATGAGCATGTCTGCAAAAGAATGTGGCTCAAGTGAAACTGGGAAAGTAACTGTTACAAATACAGGGTAAGTAAAAACATTGAGCATGTCTGCAAAAGAAGGTGGCTCAAGCGAGACTGGTAAAAGTAACTGTTACAAACACAGGGTATGTGAACGCAATGGTTATGTCTGCAAAAGAATGTAGCTCAAGTGAGACTTGTGCAAAGTAACTGTTACAAATACAGGGTAAGTAAACACAATGGGCATGTCTGCAAAAGTAGGTGGCTCAAGTGAGACTGGTACAAAGTAACTGTTACAAATACAGGGTAGGTGAACACAATGGACATGTCTGCAAAATAAGGTGGAGCAAGTGAGACTGGAAAAAGTAACTGTTACAAATACAGGGTAAGTAAACACAATGGGCATGTCTGCAAAAGTAGGTGGCTCAAGTGAGACTGGTACAAGTAACTGTTACAAATACAGGGTAGGTGAACACAATGGACATGTCTGCAAAATAAGGTGGAGCAAGTGAGACTGGAAAAAGTAACTGTTACAAATACAGGGTAAGTAAACACAATGGGCATGTCTGCAAAAGTAGGTGGCTCAAGTGAGACTGGTACAAGTAACTGTTACAAATACAGGGTAGGTGAACACAATGGACATGTCTGCAAAATAAGGTGGAGCAAGTGAGACTTGTGCAAAGTAACTGTTACAAATACAGTGTAAGTAAACACAATGGGCATGTCTGCAAAAGTAGGTGGCTCAAGTGAGACTGGTACAAGTAACTGTTACAAATACAGGGTAGGTGAACACAATGGACATGTCTGCAAAATAAGGTGGAGCAAGTGAGACTGGAAAAAGTAACTGTTACAAATACAGGGTAAGTAAACACAATGGGCATGTCTGCAAAAGTAGGTGGCTCAAGTGAGACTGGTACAAATTAGCTGTTACAAATACAGTGTAAGTAAACACAATGAGCATGTCTGTAAAAGAATGTGGCTCAAGTGAAACTGGGAAAAGTAACTGTAACAAATATACAGGGTTAGTAAAAACATTGAGCATGTCTGTAAAAGAATGAGGCTCAAGTAAGACTGGTAAAAGTAACTGTTACAAATACAGTGTAAGTAAACACAATGGGCATGTCTGCAAAAGAATGTAGCTCAAGTGAGACTGGTAAAAGTAACTGTTACAAATACAGTGTAAGTAACACAATGGGCATGTCTGCAAAAGAATGTATCTCAAGTGAGACTGGTACAAAGTAACTGTTACAAATACAGTGTAAGTAACACAATGGGCATGTCTGCAAAAGAATGTAGCTCAAGTGAGACTGGTACAAAGTAACTGTTACAAATACAGGGTAGGTACACACAATAAGCATGTCTCCAAAGAAGGTGGCTCAAGTGAGACTGGTAAAAGTAACTGTTACAAATACAGGGTAAAGGGTAAGTAAACACATTGGGCATGTCTGCAAAAGAATGTAGCCTCAAGTGAGACTGGTACAAGTAACTGACAACTGTTACAAATACAAGGAAGGTAAACACTATGGAGTTTTCTGTAAATGGAGGTGACTCAAGTGGAAGTGAGACTGGTACAAGTAACTGTTACTAACAACTGCTACATCACTAGGTTTTGCTTCAAAGCTACCTTGTTACGTTATCCATCAAAATGTTAATGACAAAATAGGAGTATCTAACTAGTTTGTATTCAAAATATGAAATATTTTTAGTTAAACACTCATATGACATAATTTATCCATTTATATTTTCCATGTAATCAACAATAACTTGTCGACTGAGCTTTAATCAGGTTTCCCACGATGATACAGGAGGCTGTCACATGATCAAAGCTCCTTACATTGTGGTTAACCACAGACTTGCATAAGTAGATATACCTGCCTTGCCTGATCACATTTTACAGTCCTTTGATGTAAAACAAAAATTCTAAGTTCTATTGAAAGTTTTATAAGTTATTGAAAAGTGAAATACAAAGACACTGACTACTGTACTATTAACGTTTTAGAACATGTGCCTAATAATTGCTTGTCTAATGAAATAAGTTATGCATTAATAAAACTTTAAGGAAATTATAGTTATGATTTTTGCAAATAAACTTACCTACTCCTGCTTGCCCTATTACCCAAGACAACCGAAGGAACAGCATAACTCCCCAGATGTTTAGGAGGCATCTCATCTGAAAATGTATTTTAATATGACCTTCTCAGGAACTTTGAAACTGACATATTTTTTATATTAAGCTGGGTTTTCCTAGGCGCGGAAGCGGAGAGCGGAGAGAGGAACGCGGATAGCGGAAAAGAGATTAACGTGGTGTTCCACTCCGCTTCTAGAAAAACAGTAACATTAAATTACCTAAGACAAGTGGAGTCCACTCTCCGTGTTCCTCTCTCCGCTCTCCACTTTCGTGCCTAGGAAAACCCGGCTTTAGGGAATTTTACTGTCATATTCTATTGTTCTATATTCACAACTAAACGTTTCTCCATAAATAATTCTAGTTTTATAATATGTCAAGTATCGTTAAATACAAGAGGAGATTTGGAGAAGAATTTGACATAGTGCAGGACAGAGAATTTTGAAGTGGTGAGGACAAAAATTGAATTGGGTTTGAGTGGGCGCAGTAGTAAAAGTAGATATATTACACCTACGGTTTGGATAAAAAAAATCAAATAACATAGTATATGGTAACTTATATTGGAGATATTGGCAATGAATAGTGAAATGTATAATTAAATTTAAAAGTTCATTAAAATAAAAGAAGACGGCCCAATTATGAACACGGAATTACTTAAAATAATAACAACAAGAAAAACACTGTAATATATCCAAATTTCAAAAGATTATTTTTTCATATATTTTTCCAATATCCTCTTCATCATCTGTTTTAACTTTACTTTAAATTATTTTATTATTGTAAACATTTACTTTATGTATCAGTTTAAACACAGCCTGAAGATGGAAACATAGTTTCTGAAAGCCCTTGTGGATTAAAATAACTTATTATATATTGACCTAGTTGAACTTTTAAATTTAATTATACATTTCACTATAGTACATGGTGATTGTAATGATCAAAATAATACAAAAACCTTAGTGGTACTTTTAAGTAAAATACTTAATTTTATGTGACTTGTGAACCCAATTGAATAACGTTAAAACCATTTCAGTATCTATGGATCTATGTACTGTAAGGGACAATGAGAAAAAATATGCTTAACACAAGCATTTAAAGATAACTCTGTGTATGGTCTAAATTATTATTAAGAAGGTAAACTTTATGGTTAAGACGATTTTTAGGATTAGTTGTTGATAAATTAAAGTATAAGTAAACATTCACTCAATAGTAGAGGCAGGTGCCTATTAAAAATACCTTGTAAGACAATTTCTGGAGAAAACTATAATGTGCCTTGCATTGTGTTTGAAACAAAACATTTTGGCACAAAGTTCCTACTGTAAAAACACCTATGGGATTTGTTATAGGCAAAATTCCTGAGTCCAAGACTAGTTTAAAGACAAACAAGGCTTGATATGTTTTCCTTTTGTAATCTTCATTGAGACTTCGTAAACTTTTTGTTCCATAACAGTTGGAAACGAAACTCAAGTTGATACTTACATAAACTCCTTCAATCCATCCAAATTTGATAACCTTTCCTTTTTTCTGGTCAGCTTTGCCGATAATACTGTAATTGCTCTGTCTTCTTTTTGCCTGTAGCATAAAATAACGAATATTAATCTATTTATTTACAATACTAATTGTGGTAGGCCTAAGAGATTTTTGTTATGTTAGATTAATTAACTTTATTTGTTCTATGTGAAAACGTTATGTATTATTTGTCATTTTGAGGAACATCATTAACATAATAATGAATGAAATTAAATGATTTATTGTAAAAACTAGACAGTTCATGATAATCGTCAAAAGAAAAAAATCAATATGGCTTTAGTTTTACAATGGAAACTAAAATTCTAAACTTAAATACTCTTTTCTTGACCTCGTTTGTACAAGCAGGTCTGAAATTATTAACTACTTGTTTGTTGGTTCTTCACCTTTCTTGGTTGAATTAGTATATAAGTTAAATCTGACCTGTTTTCTTTTTGCCTAAAGTATAAAGCTATAATCTTATCTTGAGTATAATCGGAAATATAGTTGTAGTGAATGACCATTGTTTTGGTTTTTGTATAAATAAACTGCACAGTTTTTGTGGAGTGCAAATGTTATCTCTTATAGCACTTCAGTATCAGTGTAAAACATTGTGAATGAACTTATTAATAATTTTAGCATACACTATCTAAGCTTCATTTTGATGTACCATATGCCTATATTATTATTTGGTAAATGACCTTAACGCTTACTAAAATTTAATTTTTGATACTATTTAGACTACCTAAACGTAGATGCTTTTATTCATTAAGAACAAACCTTTTTGTTCTGTATTGTAAATTAATTTGTGTACAACTGTTTTTGCAACTTTTGTACTTTTCCGGATATGGTGTAAGGGTGTGGGATAGACGCTCGTCTGAGTGGGTACGCGACTAGTTGTGGCAATGACCATAATCTTCCTACACTTCCGTCATACCACTACACTACGATATGAACTGTTTTGGAACACACGGTTTCAATCCAATTGTGATTCAGTCCGTTCCAGTTCAGCCTAATCCGCAGACGAATCAAAGAGTTAATCAGGACATGTGGAACTTCAGTTTTTAGATTGTTTGAAATTTGACCCAGCATTCCTTGATTATTTGACTTGATAGATGGTCCTGGCTATGGGAACATCCCGATCTTAGTACCAAAGCTACACTGCTGGTTATCACTTATCATTACTCAAATTGTAGATCTGAATTCGCAGTCAGCTTAAATACGTAAACAATTGTGTCGTCTTAAGTAAAGGACTGGTACGGTGGCGTCGTCCTGTAATACAGGTCTACTTACTACTAGGAGGTCACGAATTGTGGATATTTTATAGGCATGATCTGTGGATGCGATACTCCCTTGTGTGGATTAACGTCCGCCGATGAATATTTTTTTATGGAGATACAGGCAGGCTTTTACACGTTAAAATAAATATTTTTCTATTTATAAGTTTAAAATTGTAGATATGCACGCTCGTATTTTTAGGGGAAAATACTACTTTTAGTGAGCGAAACCCCAGTTATATATGACAACTGTAGACAAAATTACTACTGTAGTCGTCAAGATGAAAATGTAAAACAGTAATTATACAAAACGAATAACATTTTTAGAACCCTTGCGAGCGTAAAGAAATACTTTACGTAAAAATAATTTAATCATCATCGAATCTATAAAACCGTGAACCACCAAATTCAACCGATTACGAATAGGAGTTGATTTTGGCGGGTGTTGTAAAATTTGGCGGGTACTATAGACAAAGGAAGGATCAGATGATCGCCCTTGAGTGGACAATCGTCACCCACCATCCATCTGACTTAAGTCCAATCGCCGAGTGGATAATGCGAGGATGAGGCCAATCTGGGATGCTTCCTTTGCCAATCACTGATAAAACAACATGACTGCGACCGCGTCCTCATCGACCACAAGCCCACTGTTAGGTAGGTTATCAGGTATCTTAGGCATTTTGGACAATCAAGAGACATGCCTAAAAATTAAAACTTAATTTCTAAAAAAACTGGGACCCTAAACTAAAATTATGGCTTCGACATTCCCTAGTTCTCAAAATGATATTTCTTTCAACACAATTATCATGAAAATCCGTCGAGTGGTTGATTCAGAATCGTGAAATAAAAAACACTGTTTCGTTTTAATATTATAGAAGATATAGATAGATTCGTTTTCTTTATTAGTTTTCAATTTAGTAACAAGTCAAAATTCATTAACCAAGCTTTATGTCTACAGTTTATTGTTGTTAAAGTTTAAATTACAATTCATTTTTAAAACGTTTTATTATCTCGCTTTCTTGTCCGGTACACATTTTGCAATGACATATTCAATTATTCAATATTTTACTAATATTAATACTTAACACTTTTGTATGTGTGGGCAAAAGTTGCATGCATACAAAAATGCACTTTAGTACTTAACTATTACTACCTTGTGTGGTTTGAACTTAAAATGGAATACTTTAACCGACAAATCACTTGTAATACCCTAGCTGGTAATTACAGTGCATTTAAGAGATTAGTTTAGATCTTGTTCCATCACAAGCCATGGATATTTGCTCGGTTATCAGCACATTAACTGTCACCACAGTTATTTGCTCGTACACATGTATGTGTGCGACCAACCGTGGGATGACCACCTACCAGCTTAGTTACGCAACTAAACGGTCAATAAGCTAAACGTTTTAACTGAAGCGCAATAAACACCCCTTTCGCGTCTTTGTTTACTGGTAAAAATTATGTCTTAGGTTACGTGTAAGTATCTACATACAGACTATTTATATTACAAACTGTTCAGTTTCAAGCATCGGGTATTAGCAAATTTTCCATATAGGACTACGGAAGTAGCTATTACCGTAGGTCTCATGTAAGACCTAGACCCTAGATTTTTTGCATTAGCAAAATTGAAAAAAAGTTGGAAGTCGTTTTTTGATGTGATCTTTACATGACATATATTTTCGTCATGATTGAACAATAGTAGGCGAAAAATGCAGTTCCATTACACGGGCAAAATGTGTCTTTTCAACACTCGCCCATTTTCCATCCTTGGCTTCGGCTTGGTCTGAGCTCGAGTCTGACATATTCACTTTACGCCCTAGTGATGAAAATATACTATTTCCATCCCGTTGTCATATCGTAGAAGCAGAATGAGATTAGTGTTTAAATATTGTCTTACATTATCGCTGGACAAACGAGTGGATAAAAATAGTGTTATTGTCAACTATCTTAAATTGTGTTAAATCCAGTCGTATAGCCTATATCGAAGCCACCCGCGTGGTTGGAGAAAACTAAAACGTATAAACGCTTAAAATTGCCTAATAGTCTCTTAATATTTTAGAATCCATGCAGTACAACTTTTACTAGCGGAGTTCTCTATTTCGTATTGACAACTATACTATTAGACTAATTGTATTTACAAAGAACGCTCTGAAATTCGGAACCAACTTTTGCTTACCGAAAAGAAAATATATTGTTGTAAAGCATCCTATAACAGTGTGTAAATACAATTTCCTACTCAATTAATATTAATGAGATGGCAATTGATTTGATGCTTAAACGCTGGCCTATAACAGAGAGCAACGCTCATCTGGGCGCCGGTATTATTTAGCTGCAGTAATACTAATAGTGTTATTGAAATAGAAAATCTACTTATTAGTTGTAAAATCATTTTAATACAGTAATAAAGGGGTTTAAAAAACTACCAGTATAGCCTATGTTGGTTTGTAAAAAAAATAATGCATGGAAGAAATAAAACAAATGGTTGAAAGAACCAATACAAATAATTATTTTCCTACAGTCACCCGACAAAGTGGGCTTCCTTGCACAGATTATAATACATAAGTAAGTAGAATGATTACTGTAGTATGGCTTTCTATCTATCAGTGCAAGGAAACCCACTTTGTCGGGCGTCTTTTAGGAAAAGAAAATTTCACTTTGAAAAGGTACTGTTTACCTCTTTGGTTTGTTTGTTTAATGCAATTAAATTCGCGTTGGATCATTTTATGTTGGGGCGATTTGTATTTAGATATAATTGTGTTCCTTCAACTACATGGTATTGATAACCGTGCTCATCACACAGGCCACAATTGTTTTTTCAACCCTCGGCCCTGACTTGGTCGCAAAATGGTACAAATTTGTTGTTTAGGTCCCAGTGACGTATTTCTCACCAAGGTAGGCTATTTTGAACCATTTTAACAGCTGTTTAAAGATCTTAATGCTGCGTGTCCATTCAATAGTTGTCAAAAGCCCGCCGCTATATTTAAGCCTAGTTATCCCATCATCCAATCATTCTATCATGTTTACAACCCGCGCTTATGCTCGTTCTTCCGTCGCCGATCATTCTTTCAATCATTTAATTTATTTCCTCCATATATGATATAGTTTGTTTGTTACATGGTAAATTTTAGGTGTTTCATGCAAGTTTGACCAATTGAACCAAGAAACTATCGTAGCAGTTTATTGGGAAACTTCATAAAAATTCTAGTATCGAGACAAGCATTGACAAAGTCAGGGCTTAGCCAGTTTTATAAAAGGCGTAAAAATTGTCAACGAGATAAAATATTTAAGAAAATCCTACTTAAATATTTATTAGGCCTTAGTTATACTTGATTGCTAAAAGGCTGTCTTAGATTTTTTTCTTGTTTTAACTCATCACATCTTATAATGCACAAGGTACAAAAGATTGGAGTGTCGTCACAATATAAACTAAAACTAATAAAGTTGACAGAAGTAAAATATCTCATAAATAACCAGGAAAGACCTTATCATTCAGCCTATCATTTTACAAAGTATCATTAAAAAACTCTTCTACAGTGTAGTATGGTTTTTGTAGGAGAAGTTTGTGTAAAGATGTAAGGGCTAAGTTCTTGGAATTATTGTTTAGAATTAATTATTGTTGTTGGAATTATGCTGTACAATTTATTATAAACTTTTACTGCCATGTATTTTGGAGAGTTTTCATAGAATGAAAGCCTATGCCGAGGAAATTTCAATTTGTTCTGATGTCGTGTTGGAAAGGTATGGTTGAATTTACAGTCATCAAAAATTGTAATATCATTAATGATTAGT